TCTTATATATATATATATATATTTTATCGAAGTATCAAAGCTCCGATTTTTTACTATAAGAATCTCTTGCCACTTAAACACTCTATCTGTGCAAAAAGTTCTTGTAAAAGAGTTTTGACTCCGTTTAAGTAGATAAAATGACCTCAACATAACACGTCATGCTTAATTTTCTGTGTCGTGTTTGTTTTTATATAAAACTAAGGAAAAAAAATAGTCCCTTACCAATCACAATGTTTCAAATAACAACGCATATCATTATTTCAAATTTTTTTTATATGGACGCGGCTCTCCATTTAAAAATAAAATTAAATAAAATAATAAAAAATTACTTCAAAGGTCAGAGGTTTAAAATATGAATGTAAAAATAAATAAATAAAAATGATAAAAAAAATAGTTTAGAAGTAATTATTATAAAGATAAGTTAGTCTAAAATTTTTGCACACAAAAAAGAGATATTCCTTTCATTAATATTTAATAGTATAGAATATGAGTGTAAATTCAATATATAGTATTGCGATATATTTATCTCTTAATTGAATAGTTAACTTATATGGCCTAATATAACTGACTTTGTAAGATTGCAGAAATATTTTTTTTATGGTTTTATATTCAATTTGTGTTTCTAAACTCTAAATAAATTATTGATAAAAAATAAAACTCTAAAATACATTGGCATGGTGGCAGTGTGGATAAACCTCAACATCTTCTTGGTACTACTTAAATAGTTTTGTCTATAGTTCATCTTCAAAAGTTTTAGTTAAGTGTGTGATTCTTAGAATTATGATATTTGATTAAAACTAACTCATCATCATAGATTACAATTACTACATCAATTTCAAAATCATAACACCTATATCATTGAAATGAGAAGGTAAAGTGAAACAAGAGATACTAAACTAATTATTATTGCTTTTATTAAAATTTATCTTAAATACATTGCTAATATAAAATTTCTTTACACCCTATCCAATCATAAATTACCATACAATAAAAGATTTTTAACATTGGTAATAATTATTGAAAAACTTATATTTAAGATGGATTTTGATTGATTCAGTGCAGAGTTCGTTTATTTGTATTTTCATTTCATTTTTATTTTTACTTTTAATTATAAATTTTGTCGTTTACTCGTGTTTTCATTTTCAGTTTCCACATTTTAATTACAAAATTATCACTTGTTTTCAATTTATTTCTTATTTTCAATATTTATATAATAATATAACAAACAAAGAAAACCAAAAAAAAATGTTTCCTCTATAAATCTGTCAAAACATAATTATTATTTTTTTAAATAAGGAGGCAATTTTGTGATCAAGAAGTAAAAAAAATGAAAATAAAGACACATTACGGTACTAAAAATTAATATTAGTATATGATAAAGTCGGCAATAAATTAATTTACAAGTGGGCCTTGGTGCGGCCCAAAGGTTGAGCTGAAACTCGGGTCGTGGCCTTCGAGGTAGGGCACATATCGAGGTGTGTCTACTAAAATCTCATTCATAATTTCAATTTCAAAGCATACAAATAGACATAATCGTAGTTTTTATTTTATGCGATTGTGATTTGTGCGATCGACGAAGATAAGTAGTTTTGATCAAAAAGCTCGAGAAGAGAAGCGATGGATCTGGAGGTGGTTGGGCGGCACGCGATGCTGTTCGACGACGACGGCATGGCGGCGTTCGTAAACTCAGCGGAAGCTCTGGTCGAATGGAACTCTCTCTCCATCGATCGTTACGATGTTCGCCACCTTCTCTCCGCTCCCCTCCCTCCGCGCCTCAAGCGCCGCCCTCCTCACCCCGAACCCCAACTCGACCACCAACGCTATCTCGATCTCCCTTCTTCTTCCCCTCGCCGACAGCCACAAGGTAAACTCATTCGATTTTCCCCCAAATAACTCTATGTTTTCGTACGGAATTGTGCTTCTTGTTCACTTTTCTCAAGCTTTTATTTATTGGATCTTGTTTTATGTTCTTCCCTCGAGAGGAATTAAAGATAGAGGCTAGGCTACACTAAGAAAAGGTCAATCAAATGCAAGTTCCTCTCATAAGATTAATTGGTTCAGCTTAGCTTTATAATCTTACTGTAGTTATAACGACTTTTATTTTTTTTTTCTTTTGTGTATAAGCAAAGACCGTTAACGAGTCGGAACTAATTCTCTAAAACTTGTGTTTAAAAACAATCTTTAAACAAGGTATCAAGTTTCTTGAACTTGTTCTCTTCTGTTGAACACATTGATATTTAGTTGAGGCAACTAGGTGATGGTGCGTTGCTGGCTAATGTCTATCATTATGAAGTTAATTTTTTTTTCCGGTGGATGTGGGAACAACTTTTTCCAACTTCCACCTGAGAATATGTTGAGTTCTTTTTTTAGTTTGTGCAACAACAATCTCCACATTTGCAGGGTCGATTGTAATTTGCTACAGTTCATGTGTCAGAATACAAGTAAGGATCTTCAATTTACGTTTTGCTCCTTCTGTGTTGCATTTACTGTTTTAGGTGGATGATATTGTTGCTATTGATAATTATATCTGATTCTGACGATGGATGTCACCTTTCTGTGTTTGTTTAGAAAATGATTCAGATCCAGTGGGTTCAGATGGTTTTCATGCTGTTGGCTTTTCATATGGAAATTCTAACATGTCCTGGGAGACAAAGGACAATGATTCCGAGTCTAGTTTTCGTCCTAACTTCCCAGTACCGGAAAGCCTACTTCATAACCTGGTGAGTAACCTCCGTTGTAACATATACTTAATCGTGCGATTTTCAGATGTTACTCATTTAATTGACCTTTCATTGTTTAATCAATGTGATTAGGTGATAATTGTCTAGGGTACATATGTTATTCTAAGGCTTATGATGTCTAAGTTTCAGATGCTCGGAGCATAAGTGGAGTTCTTGTGACTCAAGGTAGCCATTCACAGGCACCTTGTTTCCTTTTGATGTCATGAGAAGGGGCCATGCAGGTGGGATTAGGATGATAGAAATTCGTTGATTCTTTACCTATTGAGAGCAAATGGGATGATACATGTCTTCATAAAGTTCTGTTTCTTGATCTTTATCATTATCCAAGTATATGTGAGGTTGTCTTGTGTTTGTTTTGTACGATACAAGTATCTAAATATTCTGCTTGGCTGGCCCATTTTAAGATTATACTTGTAGTAATTTTGAAACTCAAAATTATTGATGAAGAAACATTTCTTGTTTGTTTTTCTTTTCCAGCCTCCAAATGAAAAAGTACACCAGATTATTTCAAGGACTGCAATATTTGTTAGCAAACATGGAAGCCAGTCAGAAATTATTCTGAGGGTGAAACAAGGAGATAATCCAACATTTGGATTCTTAATGCCTGATCATCATCTCCATGCATATTTTAGGTTTCTTGTTGATCACCAAGAGCTTCTGGCAAAAGTTGAGAAAGATGATAGCAGCTCAACTGAGGACATGAATAGGACTCAGGGGATTGATCAAACTGGTGGTGCATTGTCTTTGCTTGGATCTGTCTATGGAACCGGAGAGGATGAGGATTGTACAACTGAGAATACTTGTGTCTTGGAGAAAGAAGAAAGTAAGGAAGCTGTTGATGCTGTTAGTACTCACACTTCTCCTGGAATAGAACAGGTCGAATCTCATTCAGATGTGGCCAAGAAGGACAGAAACATTTCTAAAAATTCAATACCCTCTTTGAAAGAAAAAGTTCCTGTCATAAAGCGGAATCATTCTATCAGTACTGTTAAGACTGCAACCACAATGAGAGCAAAAACATGTGATGGCTTGGATTCAGTGTCTAATGCACAGATCAAATCACAAACTTCTGTGCCTAGTATTGCTAAGATTGAACTACCTGTTGTAGAACCTCCATCTGATTTAAAGATAGCTATAGAGAAGATAGTTGAGTTCATCTTAAAAAATGGAAAACAATTGGAGGCTGTTCTTGCAGAACAGGATCGTCCTCACGGAAGGTTCCCATTTCTTCTGCCATCTAATCGATATCATACTTACTATCTGAAAGTTCTTCAAACTGCTGAAGAGGTGTGTTTCTCTGATTCATAAAAATTAACATTTTTCTTTGTGATTCAAATTGTCCCTGAGAAGTGAGAAATTAGTTGCACACTTGCACTTGCACTTTTCTACCTTGTAGGATGTGATCCATTTCATTCTAAAATTGAATGCGTTATATCCCCTCCCCTCTAAAGAAAAACCATGATTTAATTGACTGACATCACCTGCAAACTTATCTGCAGTGCCCAAATGTTGGTTATTATCATTATCATTATGCATTGGTCATATTTGTATTTCTGTCTGTCACGCAAATTTGTATGCTCATGACATGTATGCTTGTATATCCTTTTATGTACAGTATTGAATGTACAATGCCTTGCCATGTAGTTGTGAATACATTATGAATTTTCAAAGCAGTCATTGCTATTTTTATACATCTTTGCCTTTCAAAGAATTTCTTTCTGTGTGGAATTCAAATTTTAGACCTTGTGTATTCCTTGAATTATTTGGGACATTTGATTAAGAAGTTGTTAATTTTGACTTGAGCTGCTACTTTGTACTTACTGATCTTCCTAATTGTTTACAGTCCAAGTTACTGGGGAAGGGCCACCAGAAGCACAATCCAGGAGGTCGTGCAAGGGACAATAGTACTGCTGTACATGAAGAAAGTGACAATCTTTCACATGGATCTATGTCTTCTGATCTACCATATGATATGGACCGAAAAGAGAAGTTTAAGATGATTATTGGCAAGTCAAAGAAGGATGGTCAAGATCCAATTCCCATAGACCGAGCTCAAAACACAGTTAGCATGGATGCAGCGGCCACAGCAGCTATACTTCAGGCTGCCACTAGGGGCATTAAAAACCCTAATTTGGAAATTTTTACCAAGACATCAAGCGGTAGTGGTCAAGGACTGGGAAGTGATGGTGGGTGTTTGTCCAGCTCTGGGAGTCTGTACTCATGTCAACCACATGGTTTTGTCGAAAATCCACACCTAAATGCAAAGGCCAGTGCTTCTGTCCCTGTTGCCAAGACTATTGCAGAAAAAGTAGCTATTGCAGCAGCAGGTGAGGCGGACTCCTCTGAAGCACATATGACTAAGGAGCAAAAGCTCAAGGCAGAGAGGTTGAAACGAGCAAAGATGTTCGCAACCATGCTAAAAAGTGGAGCTGGAGCATGTAAAAGTGAACTGCCACGAGCTTTATCAGTTGAGCCATCAGGATCAGGACATTCTGTTTCAGATGCCGAGACTGTGAATCTTGTGGGTAAAGAAAGGGAAGGAAGTTCTGTTCCATTTGATGTTGAAAATTCAGATAAAAGTCAAAAGTCTGAGGAGAAACTTTCTGTTGATAATTCAGATAAAAGTCAGAAGTCTGAGGAGAAACATATTGATGATAGTAATGAACGCCGTTCAAAAAGAAAGTACCGTTCAAGATCTAGTAGACACGAAGAAGAGGAAGATGAGGAGGAAGAAGAAAACGATGAAGATAAAAGGGATCCCAAAAGATCCAGAAAAAAGCATCGATCTCATCGATCTTCACACAGAAGTCAGGACAGGCATAAGCACAAGAGAAGACATTCCTCCTCCAAAGACAAGTATTCTTACAGGGGTGCCAAGCATGACAGCTCCTCTGATGATGAACATCAATGCTCAAGGCATCGACGTAAATATGATAGCTCTTCTGATGAAAAACATCACTCTTCCAGACGACGACATAGGGAGGATAGTTTGTCAGACCATGAGCATAGACATTCTCGGCATTCGAGTAAACATTATAGTTCATCTGATGATGAGCATAGGCACCGAAGCAGGAGTGTAAAGCACAAGAGCAGATCTCATGCTGAAAGAGACACAGACCTGGAGGAGGGGGAGATAATTATGAAATCGGAAAAGTCTCCAAGTGAGGTTGGACGTGCTAGTAGGGAGGCTTCTGTGGGATTATCTAATGCAAGGGCACCATCTCAATCCCCTGATATAACTGATGTTTCTGATGAGCTTAGAGCCAAAATTCGAGCTATGTTGATGGCTAACTTGTAAAAGCTATATGGAGCTGATAACTGTATTCCTTTCATTTCCTAGTAATACAGTCCATTGTTAATGTTCCGAAAGGGGAAAATCATCTGGTTTTGGTTATTCCTTGGTTTGTAATAGTTGTTAATCTTTGTTTGACCTTGCCTAATGTACCGAATTGACCAAAGTCAGGCAGCAAGCAAGAGATTGTGTATTAATCATTTTGTTTCCAACTCTTAAGAAACGTTAAATTATATATATTTTTTTTGTTTCAACTTGAGAATTAGTTAATACTAAAATGCTTATAATGTGTTTGGATGAGGAATTTAAATGGAGTAATTCATTTATTTGAGAAATTTTAAATTTTGAGGTGAAATACCTTGTTTGGATGATGAATTTACAAGGAATTTGAAATTCAGGCATTCGTGAAATTTCTTAAAATAGTAAAATTTTAAATTCTTCTAAAAAAAAGTAAAAATTTGAAACTTTTTGTATATTTTTTTATTTTTATTTTACTTATATATTTTATCTTCTCTTATTTTTTTTTCATGTTTTTAATTATTGAATATTTAAAAATATTTTTAAAATTATTAAATATTATTTAATATTAATTTTTTAAATTATTAAATATTTAAAAATTAGCTAATATTTATATTTATAAAATTTAATTTAAAAATTTCAACATATAAATATATTCTTAATAATTTAAAATTTGAAAATTTGAATTAATTTATCCAAACAAAATATTTTAAGAATGATAAAAATTGAAATTAAAGTAATTTAAATACCAAGAATTTAAAATTTTTTAAATTTATAAAATTTCTCATCCAAACATACCGTTAGGATAATTGTTTTAACTTCACTTTCTCCTGAATTCATTTTCCCCTACTCTATAGAGTTAACAATATGAAAATTACAAAATTACGTCATTCATTTAGTGTCGATATATATATAAATACAAAAATTAATCCAACATTGAAGTAGCAATTAAGATTTTATTTTCGTCCTTAAAATTTAACTGATTTTACTCTTATATCGTAAATTTAAATTAATATTATTACTTATTTTTAAATTTAAATTAAAATATTTATTTTATTTTAAAAATTATTATTTTTAAATTAAATTAACTTATACTAAGTATTATCATTGTAAATATGCTGACATTATTATTTTCTAATTTAAATTAAATAATTTTATTTTAAATTCTAACAAATTTTGTTGTCTTTGAACTATCATTTATAAGTGTTTATTATGTTTAAATTTTGATCATATAATTGTGTTTAAATTTAAATATATTTCTTGTATTAATTTGATTTCTGAAAAATTATATTTATTAATTTATACAATTGAATATTAAATAATTATATATAAAATAATATTTACCTTATGCATTTTTGTGTTTTATTTTACTTCTATAATAACTACTCTATAAATTACTATTTCTCTCCACTGTTTTCTTTTCCTTTTTTTTATTTAGTTTCTATTCACTTTTTCTTTACTTTCCCTCGAATTATAGTCTCAAAATTAATCACATTCTTTATTACCATCCATAATTATTTAACTTTCATTATCTCTTCTTATTTAAGTCTTTATAAGTATTTAACTTTCTCTTGCGTGGTGGATTGTTTATTATAAGCGTTTATTGTGTTTAAATTTAATCACTTAGTTTTATTTTTTAGAAAAATAAAATGCTTTTTTTTACTAGTATTTAATAACCACGCAGTATAGAAGCGGTGGACATTAAACATACGTAAACGACGTCGTATATGTCTCTCTCTCTATATATATATCTCAATTCCGAAACCCTAGTTTCACTCACTCACATTCCCTGCTTCGTAAATCCGCCGCACAGCACACTTTGCATCTCCTCATAGCAATCTGCAGAATTTGTACACTTCATTTAAAAAAATGGTTGAAGCCATGGAACGTGAAGAAACGCCCAAATTCAGAGACATTAGACGGTATATCTGCGAGTTCTGCGGTATCTGCAGGTCCAAGAAAGCCCTCATCACCTCTCACATCAATTCGCACCACAAGGTTTCCTTCTTTCTATGAATAGCATATTCAATCCGTTTATTTGATTAGCAATTAGCTCATATATGCTTCAGTTGTTGACATTTTACATGTTTTAGGAGGAAGCCGAAAAAGCAGAAGCTGAAAAGGATCCCCAATCAGATCCTGTTAAATCCAACACGTGCGAGGAATGTGGTGCCACTTTCAAGAAACACGCCTATTTGTTGCAGCACATGCAAAGTCACTCGCTTGAGGTATTTCCAATTCTTTTGTTATGATTATTATAAGTAAAACTTTAAATACTCCTAAAAAGCTGCATTTATGTTTTACAGTTTATACACCACATTGTTCCATGAAAAATATTTGGTTTGTGCTAGAGATAGAATTATGTTGTGATTTGCTTGTACTAGTTATTGCATATAGACTGAAGATGCATATTTTGCAGGAAAGTAACCTATAAGATTCTAAATTCATTGGAAAATTATGGATGTTATAGTGTGAGGCATTGGATCCCAGAGAAAGAACTCCAAAATGCGCGAGGCAGCGTGTTTTGCCTTGATGGATCAGTATCAGGTAGGGAGACCTCCTGTGAAGCTCCATCAAGGTTGCCTCGGTCACGCTCTGTTCAAAATTGAGGTTTGCAGTTTGTTCATTAGTGTCTTGTTCTTGTAAAAGCATGGTGATGTATGTGTGTTTTTGTTGGATCTGGCTTTAACACTTCTTTTGTGATGGTTCCAGCGGCCCTTTGCGTGTACTGTTGATGATTGTCAGGCAAATTACAGAAGGAAAGACCACCTGACTCGGCACCTTCTACAGCATCAAGGGAAGACTTTTAAGTGCCCTGTTGAGAATTGCAACATTGAGTTCTCTTTGCATGGCAATATGAAAAGGCATGTTGAGGAGATTCATGATGATAGTTCTACCTCTATTTGGGACAAAAGTCCTAAACAGTTTGTGTGTTCAGAGATTGGTTGTGGAAAGGTTTTCAGATATGCATCACGGCTACAAAAGCATGAAGGTTCTCATGGTATGTTTGGTTCCTTTTGTTTTTCTGTATGACTCAGAGAAATTCCCATTGGATGTTTGTAAGGTGCTTGTTTATTAAGTTTTGTGAAAGATTTTGCCACAATTTTAAAGGAAGCATTTATTCTGCAGTTAAGCTGGAGTCAGTAGATGTGATGTGCTTAGAACCTGGTTGCATGAAACATTTCACTAATGTTCAGTGCCTTCAAGCCCATGTTAAATCCTCCCATCAATATAAAACCTGTGACATTTGTGGGACTAAGCAACTGAAGAAAAATATTAAACGGCACCTTCGTTCACATGAAGCCAGCAGTTCATCGGAGACCTTTCAATGCGAGTTTAAGGGTTGTTGCTGCACATTCTCCACAGTATGACTTCTCATTCTTAATTTGCTCAGAGTATACTATTATTGAATTTTCAATTTGATCACAAGATGAACTTTTTTTAATTTGTTCATGGATGTGTCTACAGAAATCTAATCTTGATAAGCATAAGAAGGTTGTGCATTTTAAGGAAAAGCCTTTTGTGTGTGGGTTTCCTGATTGTGGCATGAGATTTGCTTACAAACATGTGCGAGATAATCACGAAAAAACTGCCAAGCATGTTTTTACTCTTGTAAGTTCTTTTACCTCGTTGTTTCAGATGTGAAAAAAGTTGTCTGACAAGTGATACTGTCAGTTTTACCTTTGCTTTGACATACTCATGAGATTTCCGTGGTACAGGGGGATTTTGAAGAAGGTGATGAAGAGTTCAGATCAAGGCCGAGGGGAGGGAGGAAGGGAGAATGTCCTACGGTTGAAATGCTAATTAGGAAGAGGGTTCCCCCGCCTAGTCAATTGGAGAATTGGTTATTTATGCAGGATAGAGAGTAGAGTGCATTGAGCATTTTGTGCTCTTAAAACAAGTAGGCAAAATGTAAATTTAATATGTAGTTACAAGTATAAATTACGTACATTTAGGATCAGGGTATGTGTTAAAAGATATAGGACTTGAGACAATAACATAGTAATGGTTGTGCTTATATGAAAGGTTCAATTGTAGTAGCCGATGTATGAACTGTTGGTTTCGATTGGCAATTTTCACAATTGCTACTGTTTATAATCCCGTGTAGGTGATAGGTGTGCTCTCACATTGGCAATTTTTGATTTGGTGAATACACATGAACGAAATGGGACATGGCAATATAAAATAAATTATTTTGCTGTATAGATAATTAATATAAGTTATAATTCTAATTTTTTATTTCCTTTAAATAGTGTATATTAATAGTCTCATTCTCGTCTCTTTGTAAGCTGTAACTCCTATAATATTAATATTGTATATCTGTTTCTGCCAAAATTGATCCCCAGGCTTGTCTACTATTTACAGGTGCATTGTTACCATTTCCTCATTCCTCAACCTTATTAAAGCCCAAGTATCCAAATAATTAGTTGAGTGAATCTGGTCAATACCTTCAATGGTCTAGATATAGGCAAAGAGGCATAAGCTCGAGACTTAACAGCTCACTTTGAAGTCTCTAAGTAAACAATTTAAATAAAATTTTATGTGTTGGGCTTGAGATCGGTCAACATTTTGCAAACAGGAGCACATTGTCTGCAAAGGAAATGCATTACATGATGTTTTGGGACAATCTAAGACTTGTAAAGGTTTCAAGTGCTCCGTGCGTAAGACAACGGTAGGGGATGAAGAATTTTCCAATGCACTTTCCCAAGTCTCATTTTATTACCATGTCCCTTTTCTTTTTCTAAGAACGAAACATGTGAAAACTCTTGCAACAATAATTTTAGTATTTTCAAACTTCGACTAGGAATGAAACTACCGTGCAAGGACAAATGATGTCCTGAATATAAAGGTTTCAAGTTGGTGATAAATACCAGTGTCAAATTTGTCCAAATTTCTTAAAATAACCTGAAAAAAAGGTTGCAAGTGGGTGATTAAAGCCTTATAGACAAATTTGTCCTAATTCCTTGGGTGATTCACTTTATGAATTAATTAAGGGTATAGTTACCTATATATCAAACATTCCTATTTCAACTTCAAAAGGATTCTTAAAGAAATTCCAAATCTCATCACGTACCTCCTCTCAAAATATCTTTAAGAAAATAAGTTAAACTTGTCATGATTAGGAGATTTGTATATTTGTTGTAAGACAATCTTGATCTACTTTATCATAACTTTTTCAAGACCTAGGACCATATTCCTTTTTTTATCTCAGAATAATATTTATGGTGAAGAATATTTTACAACACTCATTATTTTTAGTATGATACTTCGACTAGGATGAGATTACTTTATTAGAGACTAATGTGTTGGAGATAAAGTTACAGCTTGATCATCAATGCTTTAGAGACAAAATTTATAAGCTAATTAGTCTAAATTTTGTTGGAAGTGAGGTGATTCACTTTATGAATTAAGGCAAAAAAGGTATCGGTTACTTGTGTTGTGTATCAAACATTCCTACCTCAAAAGTCTTTTTTATGGAATTCTAAATCTCATCACCTACCTTTTTCCAAAATATCTTCAAGAAAATAAATTGAAACTCACCATCACTAGAAGACTTGTGTAAAATTTCAAACAATTCATGTTAAAGTTAAATAAGAACAAATGAATCAACATTTTCAAGGGCTTACTAATACCTTTTAAATGAATTTTATCTTTACTTTTCCTCACAACAAATATTCCCAAAAACTTATTAAGAGAGATAGATTCTTTAGAAACATGTTTTAAGGTATTAAGTATTAACTAGATTTCCTCTCTTCTTTATATAAGCTTCCATAACTAAACTTGAGTGATTTGTATGAGTACACTAAATTATATGAAAGCATGACAATATATTGTCTCTATCTAAACCTGAATTATTGCACTTAAAAAAAAAAGTTATAATGAAAAGTGATTATCTAACCTATATATAAAAGCAATTTTTTTATTTTTATGTACATAATTGTCAAACCGTTTTACTCTTATAAGTTATAATCACCTTTAAGTAACCCAATTACATTTCTTTCTCCAAACCTCTCACTTTTTATATGACCACTTAATTTTATTTTTTTTTATCTTTTTTAATTACTATTTTAAAATATAGAAAGACACGAAATATCTTTTTTACACCACTGAATTATAATAAGAATATTTCTATCTTAACTTTTAAATCAAATAATAAAATAAAATGATAATATTTTTGAATTTTACATTTTATCGTTATTCTCAAATCATTAAGTATCCTAATATAAATTATCTTTTAGGATTTTATAGAGAAGTCTTACTCAAATCAATCAGGCAAGATATACAATTAATTAAAATCACAAATTTGAAAATATAATATTTATTTTTAACATGTTTAATTGTGTTTGTAAAATAGTGTGTAACAATGTTAACTATATATTGCAAAATACTTATTTATATGTTTTTGGATTGTGGGATTGTATTACACAATTGAATATCTTTCTGTGTGATTAATATCGTCTCCTAGAAAGCCAAAACATGTGAAACGAAGAAATAAATTTGAATTTTAATTGATCAGTTCATTCATTCTTTTATCATTTTGTTTATTGGAGAATTTTTCATTTTTATGGTTATTATACGGATACACTTTTATTAATGTATCAACGAGTAATTGTTAATGAAAAGCTATTTTGTATTTTAACTTCATAATGCATGAACTCAAGTTTTCTACACACAAGTATATTTAATTATTATCCTAATTAACAAAACAAAATAAAATCTTTAATTCTTAATATATTGTTAATCTTAAAATAGTAAATAATTATATAGTGTGACTTTGCAAGGGCCAGTAAATAGTAAATAGTCTAAGTCAGAGTCTCTCTCTCATTCCTGTCGTTTCTCCTTAATTTAGAAAAAAAGTGCCACGTGGCTACTTGCCCACCATCTTACCTGAGTTCTCAAATCTTTTCTTGATATTCTCACACATAACATAACATAATATTTGGTCTCAGTCAAAAGCCATTTTTTGTTGCCGACTCCCTTGCATCTCTCTACCTCTCTGACTTCTATCTGAGACCCTTTAACAAAACTTGTGGGCACAAAGTGGAGGACTCTTCTTTGATACTCATCCAACAACTTTCTTCCCAAGCACACTTAACGACTTCTTCAACAGGGTGTATATATATAATAACCTTCATTATATATTTTTTTTCTTAACATGGAACCCACTTGGAATGATGCCATTGTGAAGGCTAATTCCTCTGATCCAATCATGTCCTTTAGAGGGACCCCACTCGTCTTGGATGAGCTTGATTTCTTCGCTGAGAAGAGAAAAGAGAGTGATGAAGATGAAATTGATGATCAAATTGTGGAGCTTCATGTTGATGTACATGTAGCCAAACTCACATATTTTATGTTTCCTTACATTTAATTGTTCTATTTTTTTTTTTACCTTATTTTTGCAAGGGTAAATCTTATTATTATTCTGTTCATGTTGTTAATTTATAGACTAGCTTGGATCTTCTTACTAAGAATAATACTGGTGCCATTAGATCAACAGAAGTAGTTGCAGCATTGGAAACTATGGATGATAAGAGAAGCGAGGTAGGCTCATAATTATTTGTGTCTAGGTGTGTATATATATGTGTATGTTTTATTTATATAATTTTATCAAACAGGTAGCATGTTTAAGATGGATGTATAGTAATTAATAATTTTATTCCTATGGGTATAGTTTGTAGCTTTGGTAACTGAATTGCACCAAATGAATGCTGAAAATCAACGTTTAAGAGAGTTGGTTGATCAGGTGAACAATAACTACAATGCCCTACACATGCAGCTTATCAAGCTAACGCAGAAGCAGCATAGCCATGGGGTAATTTATTTATTTATTTTCATAACTCATTGGATATCAAAGGATAGAATGAATAAGTAGTGGTATTAGTTTACTAGATCCATCTTAATAAATTTATTAAAGTTTAAAAAAAAAAAAAAAAGATATGGTATTTGTCGATATATTTCAAAGTTGAAAATGTACATGTACTTGTTTTTTATTTGGTTTTGTGTAGAACAAGGGAGTGATAGGGGAGAAAGAAGAGATGGTTCCAAGGTCATTTTTGGACATGGGTGTTGGAGAGAAGGATGAGGGTTCCCAGCAATCCTCAGAGGGAAAACTGATGGATCAGTGCAAGGGACATGGCAAAGATGTTTTGGATGCAGATAATAATAAGTTGGATTCTGGAAGGGAAAGTTCAAAAGCTAGAATGCTTGCTGACCAAGAATTATCTACCAAAGTTCCTAGGTTGGATCCAGCATCAGAAACCATGTCAATGATCAAGAAAGCTCGTGTGTCAGTTCGAGCAAGATCAGATTCCTCAATGGTTAGTGAACTATATATAAAAATATTAAACAAAATTGACCAATGAAACCCTATGAATTATGATTTTCATTACATAACATCATGTGATTTACATGTGGGCAAGATCAGCCTTAGCTAGCTAATTGATGACTTCTAGCAAAAAAGAATACAATTTGTTTCATGAAACCACGTCATGGGAAATTTACGTGTTGATTTTATGTTGGATGAATCCTTTTTGTTATGACAGATTGCTGATGGATGCCAATGGAGAAAGTATGGACAGAAGATGGCAAAAGGGAATCCTTGTCCAAGAGCTTATTATCGTTGCACAATGAGTACTGGTTGTCCAGTGAGGAAACAAGTATGCCCTCTAGGAAATTTTATTACCTTTTGCACTAACTATTCTTTGCTGAGACTAATTGAAACAAGAATATTCTCTTTCGGTATTAGGAAACTAACTGGTGGGGGAAAGAGAAATTATAAACTTAAAACTTTTAATTTGTTGTGAAATTGTTTTAATACTGGGGGATGCACAGTGTAAAGGGTTTTTAACCGGCCGTCAGAAATTGATTTTTTTCATAAGTTTTGTGAACTTTTATATTACATCTTAAAAACCTTAAAAATCATGCATAACATGATTTCTGATCAACTAATTGTGTAAAACCTTTACGGTGTATATGCTTATTGAACTCTATAATTACACACACTATACCTGACTTGAGTGAATACATTAGTGAACACACAATTTATTTAATAAAAGTTAGCTGTGTGAATACTTCTTATTATACTAGATTAATGGTGGTGTATTATCAGCATAAATACACACCCAAGTCAAGTATATTAATTAGGTCTATACCAGAATTTCTATTTTACTTACCAATCCATCCCTCTTTCTCTTTCGGCAAGTGTCTGGTAAAGGGCACATGTGTAATGATATACAGCTTAAAATGTGACTGTTACTAGCTAGGGATCAAAACCTGGATCAGGTTTCTAAGGAATCATGACCTATAATGAAACTTGACCTGTTAGCTAATGGCCATGTAAAGCCATTGGGAAGGGATACATTTTATCTCTTACAAGAACATGAATAAATAATATGTGCACCAACAATATATAATATTAGTAAATGTTTTTATACTGCCATTCAATGACAAATCATCATGTGTATTTAGTTAAGTTTGTTACACATTTATAACAACTGCCTTAAAAACCATATCAAAGATGATTTTTGGTTGATTAACAGTTTGACACTAAAAACTTCTACACTAACATGTCTATTAAACTCATTGAACATTACACAAAAATCAAGGTGTACCAATCAACAAGAGTATTTATGTTTGTTGATAGGTACAAAGGTGTGCTGAAGATAGAAGTGTGCTGATCACTACATATGAAGGGCAGCATAACCATCCACTCCCTCCCACAGCTCAGGCAATGGCATCAACCACTTCTGCAGCAGCCTCAATGCTTCTCTCTGGGTCAATGCCAAGCTCAGATGGCCTGATAAACCCAAGCATATTGGAAAGTGCTTCACTTCCATGCTCTCAAAACATGGCCACACTCTCTGCCTCAGCCCCATTTCCCACCATCACACTTGACCTCACTCAAAATGCCACCAACCCCTCACAGCTCCAAAGGGAACCACAGGGTCAACTCAGCCTCCTTTCTCCACTTTTGGCCCACAAGTTCATGTCAGTTCCAAAAATATTTGGACAGTCACTGTGTGATCAAACCAAGCTTGCTGGCTTGCATGAGTCTCAGGGAATGGACACAACTTCATCATTTGCTAACACATTGAATGCTGCAACTGCTGCTATCACTGCAGACCCAAATTTTACTGCAGCTCTTGTGGCAGCCATAACGTCTGTCATTGGAAGTTCACATTCCAACGCCAGTGGCACCAATAACACAAGTGGAGATGAGCAGTGCAATAACAATGCATGAGACTCAATAGTTTTTGTTGGTTTCATTTCCTTTCGAATCGGCTTAGCTGATCGTTTTCATATCCAAGATAGGTATAGGTTTCGATTTAATTTAGTCTTTGTCATGCATACGAAGGATGTCACAATATTATAGTCTTCATTATTTGAAATTGATAAGCTTCTGGTTCAAGAGTTAACTCAGCAGCTGTGAAATAAACTTGTTGCATTCTATTTTCTTAAGTTGTGTGTTATAGCATCTCTATCACAAAGCACTATCAACTTTATCTTACTAAAATGACATGTTTTTAATTAGTTGTAAGTTATATTGTTGTTTAATTAGAATTAAAATTTTATTTTGATATTATGTAAATATATTTAATACAAGCCTTATTAATATATATTTATATATAAAATTCTAATTTTAATTAAAGAATAATATTAATTGTATTTAAGAAATTATACTTAAATTTTGTCTTTTTAATTATTTTAAAATGGCCAAAACATTTTTTTAATGTACAGAAGTATTTGAATAGTTATCCTACATGCAGTTTCTTATCTTATAGTTAAGAAATCTTTAACCAAATAAATTTTATTACAATATTTTAATATAATAATTACATTCAAGTCTTTGCATAAAATTGAAAATTTTGGCTCAACTACTACACCAATATATATTTGTTATTTACAGATGTAAAATTTTATTTTTATACCATATCATTAATATAAATTATATATTTAATAATATATATTAGTTCATACAATTTAACTAGTAATCTATTGGTTCAATTAGTAAATCACTAATCAGATCAGTTCTGATAACACTAATTATGATACAAGTTACTCTTTTTTAATTTTATTTAATTTAATTATGATACAATTTTTAATTTTTAATATTAATCTATTTATTTGAGATACATTTATATTTTTTAATATTTATTGATTTAATTAAGAGATAAATATTGATAATTAGTATAATAATTAATTTAATTACAATTAAAAAGCATAACTTGTATAATAATTATTTCTATTGATATTAAAATTTTTTTTTTTTTCACATTTTAATGAAAATTTGTCTCCGTTCTATATCTGACCTAGATATACAATAAAAATAAAATTGTGTGGTGTATTTGGACCATATATATATATA